ACATTCAAAAGTCTTTAAAAAAAAAAAGCTACAGATAAAGAAAGGGAGGCGCGTGGCACCCGGGCAAGAGGCGCCCACGCCGTGCAGCCCGGACGCACACCCCCCCCCGAAGCGCCCAGACCAGGTGGCTTCACAGGAAACTTGGAAACAAAATGTCCCCCCTCCCTGGGGAAAAAAGAATTACAGACCTACGACTCTAAATCAGAATAAGTTAAGTTCTGAACAATATACAAACATGTACAGCGTATCAACACTATGGACAACCTCCGCCCCCGGAGCCGCCTGCCTCAATCTATGTCGCTGAGGTCGCTGGCCGGCTCCCCGTGCACGCGGCTCAGGTGGTTCATGGCACGGTCAAAAGCAATGCGCACAGCCTTTCGGATGCTGGAGTTCCTCCCCTCCATCATCTTCAGCTTGTCGATGGTCTCATCGATGCCCAGGGGTGCCATCTTGGACTTAGGGAGCCACTGCCTTTGGAGAGAAGGGGGACAGTGAGCCCGGCTACATACACAGCAGCCCTTGGCCTTGGCTGTGCCAGCCATGAGGACCCGCGTAGCCGTGAGACGCCTCCCCCAATGTCCCCGAGTGGCCATGCAGGACGAGCAGGGCACGCGGTGTGGAGCACATGCTTAATATGGGCAAACGTGCAGCACACACGACACGGGCCAGTGAGGCCCAGGGCAGGATGTCTGATGGGCAAGAGGGTAAGGCCTTTATGAAGGGCCAAGTACCCCAGCTAGACACAGGGCCAGAGCACCGTGCCCTTCCCGCAGCAGGCACAGGGCCGAGCAGGAGGGCAGCACTGGGCACAGCAGAGACCAGGAGACGGGCAGGGAACACCAGGCAGAGCACAGAGTCGGGCCCTTCACTGGGCGCTGGAGCAGCACTGCAGTGGCCTCAAGATAAGGAGACAGTGCCTGGGCCAGCAGGGACCCAGTCTCCCGAGGAAGAAGAGACTGACCAGTGCTCCTATCCCACAGAGACCGCAGGCCCCCGTCTCACGGGCTCAAGGGGCAGCGTCCTTCTCAGCCATCAGCTGTGTGAGGACTGGTGGATGCACAAGCCCACCAGGCTGCTGCACCCCAGAAACCAAGGTGGGGCACACACCCCATGGCCATACTCACCAGCTCCTCTTATTGTCAAAGAACAAGACGAGGAAAAGCTTCTCCTCAGACTTGGTCTGCATGTGCTCGCCCACCTTCAACACGTCCAGGGGCGGTGCAGGAATAGTGGCGATTGTGGTGGTCTTCTCCTCAGACTTGGTCTGCATGTGCTCGCCCACCTTCAACACGTCCAGGGGCGGTGCAGGAATAGTGACGCCATTGTGGTGGCCAGGCACTCGTGGCATCTTGGGGTCTATGATCTGCCAAGAACACGCACCAGGCACTCTGAGTGCTTGTGCCCAAGGCACGCCCCCCGCCCCGCGCGCACACACACACACATCAGACTGTGCCAGCGCAACCGCCCCTTCCTGCAGCACTCACCAGGGCGGGGTAGGAGGGGTAGCCGCTGCACTTGGCCCACACCACCTTCAGGGGCTCCAACACGGAGGCAGCGGCATCCGTGGAGATCCACATGCTGTTCTGCCCCACTTCTGGGAAGGAAGGAGCCCTGACAGTGAGCACTACCCTGGACTCCCCCACCAACGTGGACAAGCTCCTGCCCTCCCCAGTGCCAAGTGTGGGACCCCAGGTGCCCAGCCCCTTGCCCCCCTAGCCCCACCTAGGACAGGCTCTCAGAGACAGGGGCACTATAGCCAAGCAAGGCCTCAAGTTCAAGACCAAAGTCCTGGCTGTCTCCAAAGAACAGGCCCTGCTCATCCCAGCAGAGGGCGCTCGTCTCCAGAGCCACTGGCTCCAAGTCCAGACCACTGCCCGAGATGGAAGGTCCCCTCCCACCACCACCAGCAGAGCACCTCCTAGGCTGTCACACTTGTCAAACCACGAGGGAGCCCATGCACCCAGCCTCATGCTTCCCCTCTCTCCCCTGCAGGGCCACCTCAGAGTGAGCCCAGTGCCTGCTGGAGCCCAGGCCCAAGGCAACAGAGGGCCCTCTGCCCCCAGAGCCGAGTGACCCAGCAGAAAGGGACCCAGCTGGCAGCCAGCCTCAGCTATAGACAGGACCTCATGGCCGGGAGCGGCCCACCTAGGCCTGAAGCATCTCGAGGCAGGGCCAAGTCCTCTGACCCCAGCCGCTGCTGAAGAGCCTCTGCCCTCCACAGATCCCTCTAAGGGAGGGATCCCCACCATACCCTGCAGGCCCGGCTCAGAGGCACTGCACCTGGACTCGGCTGCCGTCTGTACCCTGCCCACATCCCAGGGCTGCACAGGGCTCACCAGCTGCGATTCGGGCTGCCTTGGCATAATTGCCATTCTCGATGCAAGAGATCAGCTCACTGCGGTCCTCCAGTGTGTGCCTTCGCACAAGGGCAGGCTTGCCACGCCCACACTTGGGAGTGCTGAGGCTGTGGGGAGAGCGGGGTCTGGTCAGGGTCAGGTGCCCCCGAGGGCAGACACCCAGCCCAGCCCGGGCTTTATCCTGACCCAGGCTGCACCGCACGGCTGCTGACAGGTGGAGGACAGTTCCTAACATCCCAGGACTAGGCAGGCAGGTATGGCCTGTGGTGACAAGGGCGCTCTTGGCTATCGTGTCCCTGCCGCCAAAGTGGTCTCCACCAGGAAGCCAGGTAGCGCTGTGCAGACCACCATCTTGACCACGGCAAGATTCTGGGAGGGATGGCTAAATGCCAATCTCTGCAGACTCTGCAAGTGTGCTAGTCTTCACTGTGGTTTTATTTCCCATTTACACTTAACACTACGAAGCAGATGAAGACATCATACGGGAAACTGTCCTACCAGGCAGAGTGGACACACGGATCGGATCCCAGGCCAGACTCTCTCAGGGCCCTTAGGTTGGGAGCTGGGCCCCCTGGGTCCAGAGCAGCCAGGTGGGTGCTGAGAGCCGGGGGCGCTCGGAGACTGCGCAGGCGGAGACGAGGTGGTGCCCACCTTGAGTCACAGAGCGGGCTGTTGCTGGAAGAGATGCTAGACTCGGACACACAGCGACGCCGGGGGGCGGATTTCCTCCCCAGGCCACTGCCCGGCTCCTGCTCATTCCTCGAGCCCCCAAAGCCATTGGTGAGACCTGGAATACAACAGGCAAATGCCCGGTCAGCCCGGCCGTGAGTCGTGCTCCCTGACTCTCCCCCATGCCAGATCCGGACTTTCATTAAATGTGCTTCCCAAACAGCATTTCACACTGGACACTGTTTTATCTTTAGCCTCTGAGATTCCCCAGCAGTGAGCTATAGGTGCCAGAACCAAAGCCACATACAAAGCAGTGTTTCCCGACCAAAACCAACACAACAATCAAGGGGAATGCGAGAGGGAGCTGTGCTGTGAGCCCTGCTCAAAGATGAAAAAAGCGTTTGCTCTCCTTTCTCTTTTAAAAGGCACCAAAGTGAAGGCTCTGACTACCCCTTCACAGCTAAAAGATTGAGTCACACACTTCTGTGAGCTGTGACAAAGGCCCCCTCTCCAACACCAGGGCCCCAAGGGTGTCATGACACCATCACCAAAAACAATCGCATTTGTGAAGCTCCAGGAAAAGTAACTTAGGGTCTTTTTTAAAAAGCTTGTTTCAAAAAACAGAAATTAATATAGAACCTGGAAAATGCTGAAGAAAACCCTTAAAACAGAAAATGCAGGCCCCATTAATCTAAGGCCCCCAAACCCACCACACCAAGGTACCTCCCAGCACAGGGAGTGGCTCTGTGGTTCCTCTGTGTCCTGGGCTGCTGAACAGACCACCGCAACTCAGCAAGAGCAATTAATCAGGGCAGACTCAGAGTCTACTCCACCGCCCAGCACTTGCCTCCCTGCTAAGTGAGCAACCAGGGCACACGGGGTGGGGCACACAGGATGAGGCACAGCTGTCACAGGCCGCAGCTGGGAGGGGCGAGATCAGCTGTGTGCCTGGCACCCTTCAGTACAACAGCTGGGCAAGGGGTCACAAAAAGGAGCCTTATCTTCCCACATGTCACCCCTAAAATATTAATTACGAATCTATATCCAAAGTGGAATGTGTGAAGTGGTGAATAAAACTTCTCAGAAAGATTTTGGCTCTGGTGGCCAGACCACAGGGCTTCCGGCTGCTTCGGCACCTCTACTGCCCCTCCAGGAAACACTCCTGGCTCCTTCGGACACAGGGTCCCTGCCACCTCTAGCACTCGTGCACTGACAAAGCAGGCAACACAGGCAGGGAAGGAGCCAGGCCTGCACTGAATCCCAAAATCTCACACAGTGGGCAGATGGCACCATCCTCAGAGCAGAGACTACACCCCACTCTGACATGAGTCATCAAGATGACCGCCCAGCACGGATGGACAGATGGACAGAGCTCATGCTCCAGGATGGCCCAGGGCACAGGTCTGAGAAGGGGCCACAAGCCCAGTGCCATCTGCCACCGCGGAGCAGGCTGGAGTGCACGGCTCTGCGGATTTTAGGTCTTGGACAAGTGAGCCATACCACTGACACCTCTGCTATTCCAAAGCCCAAGCACAGATCCAGTGCAGAGGGACACGTGCCCCTCAGAGAGGCATCCATCCCAAGATTACAGTGCAAACCAAGCCTTTGCAGGCTGAGGAGACGGGGCCAGAAAAGAACAGATATGTGTCCAGTCAGGGCTGGGTTCTGTCAATCACCCTTGTCTGGTCCATCAGGGTCAGCTGCGGAGGGCCAGAGCAGAGCTGTGGCCGGCCTGACCCACACTTTGGGTGGCAGCCAGCTGCGGAAGAGGAAGACCAGAGCAGCCTGCCTTAAACCCAGACTGGAGATGATGCATGATCCGCACCCCTGTCCCACGCTGCCCAGGACATGTGTGCCATCCTCGGCAGGGGTGGCAGTTGCTCCACCCCTAGGTGTGGGGTGGAGCCCACGGTGATACAGAGGGAGCAGAACAGGAAATTCGGTGACTGAGGCAAAAAAGAGAATGATCCGCGCTCCCTGTTTTCTGAGCATTTAATGACTGAGCTTATATCTGGGCCACAAGTTGTTTACACACAGTTTTTCACACCTTACGTGGAAGTGTACTGAGCACGTGGGCAGCCCGAGGAAACAGTCCAGGAAAGACTCCTTAAGCTGACAGAGCAGGCCAGGCACTAGGCCAGTTTTGGGGGTGTGCAGCAGCTGAAGCAGGGCCTGTGTGGACAGATCAGGCTCTGGAAGGCTGCCAGCCCCTGGACACATTCCAAGAGGCAATAGCTGAGAAGCCGGGCTCCGGCGTGGAGAGGTCCTGTGGTGCTGTTTGAAGACCACAGAGCTGCAGCAAAGCAGCCAGCCACAGGCCCTCCTGCCACTGCCACCACTATGGCCTGTGGCCCTGCTGCTGTACACTCTGCAAAGGGCCCCGCCTGGGGAAGGTGTCCTCAGAGTACGGAGGCCATGGGGCTCACCAGCAGCACCCCAGAAGCCCTGAGGGGCCAGAAAATACGCTCGTTCAGTCCAGAGGGTCTGGAGTCCCGGGCCCCAGGAGGGCATGGAGGCCCGCAGGTGGGCCCAGGGAACCCACAAACAGCTGGCACTCCCGAGGCAGCCAGCCCGAAGCTACAGATATGACGGGGACTGGCAGGGACTGAGAGGCCAAGAGAACCGTGGAGACAGCTCTAGATAGGGCCGAGACCCCGGCTCCATGCGCCACCAAGCACCTGGGACTACAAAGCCCACCGGGCCACATCCCATTCTCCCAAGGAGACAGGATCAGTGCAGCCAAGCCTAGAAGTGGCCAGGCCACACGACAGTGACAGCATCCTTAGGAGCTCCCTGTTCTCTGAACAGCTACACCCATGGGTAGGACAAAGTTCATGGGGGGACAGGCAGGCATGGTCTTTGCTGGCCTTGGCCTCCCAAGAACCCCTGGAGTGCAGGAGGTAAACAGCCCCAGGGCATGGGAAGCTGGTGGCCAGGAGATGCCCCCTCCACCCTGGCTACACAGCCTCTACAGGCATCAAGGAAGGGATATCAGGAGAGATGCCATGCAGCATGGAGCACTAGCCCCCTGCCCTGCAGCTGCCACCCAACCTGCTATCCTGCATCACTGGCTTCCCTGAACCCTGCAGGAGGAAGTAAGCACACAAGTGCTGGTGGCCTGTGGCTGACAATGAGGTTCCAGGCATCAGAAAGCCACACCCTGCTCCTGGTGGCAGGGCACAAGCATCACAAGGTGGTGGTGGGTGGCACCTGTTGTATTCTGCTGGCTTTTTACTTTTGCAACAGCCAAAAGGACTGCATTTGTGGTGCGTTTTCAAACTTTCAGTAAGCACAGCAAACAAGAAAACCCAACCCCTGCCTGCTCTAGTAAGAGAAGCTCTGTGAAGATGCAGCTGGGGGCAGCCAAGACAGGCGTGGCCCAGGCAGGATGTCTCGGCGGGTCCTATGGGCAGGGTTTGTTAGCTGGCCCAACTGGCACTCAGCACGGCACCAGCAAGACAAGTTAGCGCTGCTCCGTAATCCCGGAGGGAGTACAGGAAAGAGACTTAAGGAAGACGGAAGCCAGGCAGACATGAGAAACGGAGCTGCTGACGACTGAGTGAGGACATCTCCAGATGGGGTCAAGCACTCAGTCCCTCCAGACGCCGGCCTGGCCACCTGAGCAGAGCCCATCATCACAGGCCAGTCCTGGGCACATGCAAGGTGGAGCTGGACTATCCACGGCGCTGCTGGTTCTGACATGCACCAGGCTGTCCACAAGAAGAGAGCAGAGGCATTGAGCCGTCCCCAGCTCAAGGAGGGCACCAGTCCCCACAGGACCTGACAGAGGGAAGGGCTGCCGGGGCGGAAACTCCTCTGGGAGCTGGCATTCGTGTTCTTTAAAGGGTGGCTCCAGTGTGATTTGCAAGAACTATGTGCAGGATGAGGAGCAGCCATCGCTGTGTCCCTGAGGCTGTGAGCAGAACTCCAGTCCAAGTTGAGGTAAAAGAAAAGGATTAGGATCCAAAGAAGGAGCTACCCAGTACATGAGTGGTTAAGCGAGAACAGCGAGAAGCCACTTAGTCTGATGGAGGCAGGGCAGAACCAGCCTCCTCCCTCAGCAGTCCCGGGGTACTGAAGACCCGGCCCTCCTCACCCCACCCACCCAATGCACAACCATCTCCAGAGTCTCAGAGGAAGAAGCAGATGGCAGAGCCCGCCTGATGGTCCACAGTCCCCCGAGGAAGAAAGCTACAGGGCAGGCTGGCTCTGCGAGCCCGGAACCTGTGGCCGTCGCACGCCTGCCCTGCTGCAGTGCAGGGCTGGGCAGGGTGTGGAGGCGCAGTTTGCACAGCGAGTCGGCGCTCAATCTAACTCGGGTCCTGCAGTGCACTGGAGAACACCAGCCCTACAAGTTCAGAGTGGCGGATGAATCTGGAAAAGCTCAGAAGGCTCCAAATACTTCACGTCCTCAGACTTCGAAGAGTGCAACTCGAGCAAGAAATCCAGGTGCGCAGAGGGCACCCGACGTTCGGGCGAAGGCAAGGCCAGCACGATGGCAGGGCTGGCACCTCCAGCCCGCGCCCAGCTGCCCTGGGCGGAGCAGATACAGCAGCAGCCGCCTCAAGCTCCTGAGGGTCTGATCTTAGTGCTAAGGCTCCCGGGCTGCTCAGGGGTGCGCTTAGGAATTCAACTCGCATCCACTGAAATCTACTGCCATTCTGGAATAAGAAAGCAAAAATCTCCATTTCAGTCAGGATCAAAAGCACGCTTCGATCACAAGTACTAAAGGTCTGCAGTAGACGGCACTATGACTCACCGTGACCAAGGCCTTTGCACACTCCACGGAAACATGGGAACTAGAGCGGAGTGGGTGTCTGCCTCCTATAAAGAACATCCGCTGAACGCGTCTAAGGTGCTCCTAAACCTACATCACAGCTGAGCCCAAACAGGCAGACCACCCGAATAGCTGCCCATGCACACGCAAGACACCCTGGGCAGCACACCAGCCTGGAGGAGCGGCCCCTTGGTCCAGTGTCCTGTGCTCTAGGCTCCTCCACAGCCACAAAGCCCCATGAGGTGATGTCAGCCCTAGCCCTTGCTCTCCTGAGCAGAGGAGCCTGAGCCTGCACTGGCACCGAAACAATGCAGTCGTCCCATCGTCACAGGGATCCCGGTGAGCGCCACACAAGACAAGAGTCTGTCCCTCACAGTGGCCGAGAAAGGCTGAAGAGGAGTTAAGAGAACTGAAAAACTTTCATCTCTTCCTCCACCTGCATCCTCTGAAACATTTAAATTGCTTTGTGTTTCTCAGAAACAAAAAAGGTTTTATGAGATTTTAAAATACAAATTTAGTATCAATTCATCAAAATAAGAGGACTTTAAGTTTCCACAAACAATAAAATTTAGCGAGTTTCTATAAAAGCGATTACATGTGCAAAATCAAAATGAAACTCATCATGAGGAAGGGAGTTGGTGGGAGGGACAGAAGTAGGGGGAGAGGGAGAAAAAAAAGGAAGGGAGAAAGGGGAGGGGAGGAGAGAGAGGTAAGAAAAAAGGATGGAGAGATGGCTGGATGATTTTGGCAACAAGAAATATGATTGGCCACGGAAGGCTGCACACTCAGCATGAAGACCTCTTCGTGAGCACGGAGGGCTGGGGTCATCAGCAGATGCCACTGCTGACCGGCTTGGCAAGGCTCCAGGACATGGGATTCGCTAGTCACCACTCCAGCACATGAAAGGACACTACACTGACCCATGTCCTCACTGCTGAAATGACTGGGAGGCCAGCACCCCTCGGCAGCTGGAGGACGTACTTCTCCCAATCTAGGCGTGGCAGTGCACAGAGAATACACAGGACCCGGCGTGGTCCAGCACTGAAAGGGACACATGTCCAGAACAGTGACACTGGGGATCTGACCCTGACACCTCTCAAAGGTATGGTGGCCGTTCCAGAGTGAATGGACTGATGATAGCCACTCCTCAGAGAACACAGAAAACATATGGCTTTCATCAGAGAGGTCCGAGCAGAGGAACAAAGAGCCAGGGCAGCTTCCTCTAAACACAGCACAAAGCAATTCACGGAACACCTCAGATGCAACCACATATATGAGAGCACACTTGGGAGCCTCCTAGTGTGTTAGTGAAACCTGTTAAAGTTACAAAAGCCTAGTCATTGTGGAGAAATGACTTCAGGTGTTACCGAACAGTGAAATAAACACAGTGCAGCATTTAAGAAGGACAGAATCCTTGTGGGGCCCTAGGGGTAAAAGGAATGGGAGTCCCAGGCTCCGGTCCAGGGCCTGGGCATAGGGCCTACAGGAGACTCCTAAGAGGTGGGTCCCAACCTGTCTGCCCAGACACACACATCCCATTCAAGGTGTTCAGATGAGCCACGTCTGCAAGTTGCTCTTGATGCTTTAGAGGCCAAAGGGGAAGGAGAAGGGATCAAGGAGGAACAGGGGTCATCACACAATACATCAGGAGCATCCCTGGCCCAGGCTGCCAAGAGGGCACACAGCCACTTCCCATAAAGGTGCCGACCGACCCAGCACCACAACTTAAGCTTCCAAAAGGCAAAACCAAATGGCTCGTTGTCTTCTCTGGAAATTAAGAAAATACTACAAAAACAAAGCTCAGCACCACAGACAGATTTATGCTAGAGATGCCCACAGGGCGGGCAGCACACACCACACAGGGTGGCCCGCCTGACATTTACCTGTGTCCAGGCGCTTTCCCGGGGACTCCTCCTCCACCTCGGAGTCTCCACATGTGCTCCTCGACCTTTTCCTTGGCTGCAGTAGAGTCTCCAACCTCGGAAGGACTACAGACAAAAAGGTTTTGGTCCCTAGCTGAGGAGAAGTTGGCTGGGTTTCAGTGTTCTTGGCAGACTTTGGGGGGCTTACACTTTTCGATTTGCAGAAGAGAACAGAAGTGCGTCTGTTTACATCGCTTGATGGCTCCGCCACCGCGGAGGCCGCCGCAGCCGCCGGCACATCGCCACTACTGGCGAGGGTGGGCTCTGGAGGGTGTCCGCTTACCAGTGCGCTCTGAGTGCAAGGGCTATGTGATGCATTATCAAATGTGACTCTTTTGAATAGTTTACTCTGCTCGGGGTTGAGTTCTACTGGTTTGAGGGTTGGTGGTTCTGAATTAGTCTCCGAGTCTGAAGGAAGAGGTAATGCATCTGATGGTTCAAGTTTAGGGGGAGATTTATCTCCTGAAAAAATTATAAATAAAGTGATTTTTGAAAACTGAAGATTATAAAGTCTATTATAAAACTTACTATAAATGTGAAGTCCACCAAAATACTAATCAATTAAGGAAACAAAGCATCACACACAACCGTCTGCTGAGCAGGGAGCAGCCTGGGGCTGCTGGGTCACCCTGGGTCATGCTGTGTGCATCTTCCTAACCAAACAAGGGCTGAGGCCCGAGGCCCTCCACCCAGGTGCAAAATTACTCTGGAAAAAGTGTGAACACATATTTCACACACACACCAATATTTACACATAGCATTCGAGTTCATGACAATCTGAATCGACATTCACTTACCTGGCAGATGACAAACAGGCACAGCACAAAGGGGGCCAAGGGAGCTCCCCACAGTGCAGCACTCTGCCCTGCAGAGGTGGCAGACCTTAGGAGACAAGGCTCGTGTCTTCCTGACCAGGGCTTTCCAAGGAGCCCAAACCTGCTAGTGGCAGTGGCCAAGGAGGACTCTCGAAGCAAGACACCCACCCCCACAGTCTACTTGGCTCTAGGCAGCTCTCTCAAAGGCCTTGTTTACCTATCTGACTTTAGAGTCCAGTCTTTGGAAGCAGTGTTTCAACCTCTTTAAAAAGGTATTTAAAAATTACCAACTTTAAATGACATGAACGCTTCGCACATTAAGAGCCCAAGGAACAGGACAGGCTGTGCACACGCTGGGTTTCTTTCTGAGCAGGACTGATTTGGGCTATAGAAGTGTGATACAAAACAAAGCAACACTCGCAAGCGCAAGATGTCAAGTTCAATCCCTGGTACAAAAACAAAAACCCAAAACAAAGCATCAACCTGAACGAGCTAAAGAGGTGTACAGCATCACTAGGTATAGTTTCATTAAAGCTGCAAACTTCCCACGAAACATATGAAATGTGTAAGGTTAAAATTTAAATCCGAAAACTCACTCCGAAAATTAAAAAGCTTTTAGAAGCTTCATTTATGCCTCTGGGTTGTTGATTAACTCAGAGCCAATCTTTTGTGCGTGGTGCACGGCAAGTTCTCCCTAACTACCCCAAAAAGTACACAGGGTTAAGAGCCAGTCCCCTGACCACATCATCCTCCCTGGTCTGGGCAGGGGAAGGAAGGGTTCCCTGATCCACATGGGCCAGATGTGTGCTGTGGCCTGTTAAAGGCATACCCATCACAGTGGGGACACAGAGCCTGCTGGCACAAGAGCCTTCTACTCCAGACGCTACGGACAGTAGGCACAAGCCCATCAGTCCACAAAACTCATCCATGAGTCCCACCTGGGGACCACAGTTCCCATGAAGTGGGCCTGGGCACCTGAGTCACTGGAACGATGGAGGGGATAGAAGCTCCCTGCTTGTTCTGCTCGATACCACTGACACTTGGGGAATCACAATCATGGTGCACACTGCGGTCCTGAGCAGACGAGACCAGGCATGTGCAGGGCCCCTACTCAAGGTCTTCTGCAGACGGACGGTGCATATGTGCTGCATCCCTGTGCAGGGGCGATGGATGACAGCATTGGCCGCCAAGGGCCAGCTGGTATCAGGCTGGGCTGAGCCCACTCGCAGCACCGCAGTTTGCCTCCGGCCTCTCCTTCTTCCCTGACCTCTCCCCTGCCCTGTGTCAGTGCACATTCCGACTAGGACACTCTGAAAGTGCTCCTTGTGACCCAGTCGAGGCTGGAAAGAAGGTGCCTGCACACACCCACCTCTCCAGCCAAGAGCTCCAGAAAGCAGTCCATCCATCGTCCTGCCGGCAGCAGGCCACCACGTGCTGTCCTCCATGAGGTTCTCCACTGTGGCCACACCTCCCAGGCACGGCCACCCAACACGCTCACCCAGCCCTTCTCACTCAGCCCTGTGTTCCGCCCCTACTCTGTGGTCAGCCCCCTATGTGCCCCCAGGTTTCCAGGTCCCCAAACACCGCTCTGAGGTTTACTCGATGCCATCCTATGGCATTCACCAGTGGACAGAGAGGGCGCTGGAGATGTCAGATGTAAAATCTCCTCCCTGCTGGGATCCACACAGGCCAGGAGACCTCTCTATTTCCTCACATGTAAATGAGAAACAGCAACACCTATGTCTCGCTGGATGGCTATGAGGGGAGATTCCACAACCACCCTCCATGCAATACACCCCAGCAGCTGGCATCCATCGGTCCCCCTAGGGAAATCTGCAATTATTAAAGTTCTTTTCAAAAGCTCACTGGCTACCACCCATACTATGCTGTATTTAACTGCATGTGAGAAATGCTCTATTAACTGCTCTAAAAAGTTCCATGTGACACAAATGGCAAGTCTCAGCCATGAGCATGAAGGCCAGTCCCACAAAGCCCCCCTGGCCAGGACTCATCCCATAGGCACAGCCTCCCACAGGACGCCACCCAGACTCGCTGCACAGAGGGTCCTCATGCACCTACACTGCATCCTGCACTGGCCGCCAGGCCCCTCCATGCTTCTACCAAAGCCATGGCAGCTCTAGAAACCACAGCATGGGGTGTGGGGCTCCAACCCATGCCACCAACCACACTGGCCCCACACACCTGCTCCCACTCCAACTTCTGCAGTCAGGAAGGAACCGAGTTCACACACCGCATTCCAGCACTGAGCAGAAACCTTAAAAACCTACCCAGTGGCGCACCCCATATGGCGTGGGTAAACAGCAAGAGCACCAGGCTACTACACACACGGCAGTGCCTCACTGGGCTCCATGAGACTCCACCAGCCCTGACTGCCCTGCCCCGCACCCACCTGCCAGCTGAACCATGGCCCTGAGAGAGCCCACCTCTGCTTCACAGCCTCATCACCACTTCGCCACGTGTACCTGGCCCTCGACCTGTCATGACATCTCAGGAACATGAAGTCAACGCTAGGCACAAAGACAGCCCAGCCCTGGTCCAGCAGACCAAGCCCAGGCCCGGCCAGAAGCCTCCTTCCCTGACCTGGGCACCCCGGCAGTCACCCTGCTTATGCTTCTGCAAACATAAACCACGTAAAGCTCATATAAACACTCCAACAGACTGTCTGATACTAAGGACTGCCTCTGGGTACGGGTATGACAACTTTGGCATTATATTTTAGGAAGACAGGGCCCATATCTCAGAGGAGCGGGCTGAAACTCAGTGTCTGCTTGCTGGCGCCTGTGAACTGTCTCCCCATGTGCTCAGACAGCCTCCCACGCTGGGCTGGCTCTACCTGGGATTCCATCTCTTCTTCCAGAATGATGCTGTGTCTACCTTCCCTGCCCCACCTCGGAGCAGGCGGCCAGGCTGCCCCTTCCTCCTGCCCCTTCCTCTCAGCGAGGAGCCCAAGCACATTAAATACCTCACAAACTTGCAGCCACTGTAGGCATTCTCTCAGGATCCCCACCTACGTTCTTTAAGGTAGCCAGAACTGCAAAGGAACAAGGCGCCAGCTGGCCCCTCCTCAAGGCAAGGAAACTTAGGGAAACACACCTGCAGCAGGCAGAGGATCCTTAGCCCAGTAAGCCCAGTGCCAGAGGTCAGGGCCTTTGAAGAAAGAACTGGGAAGGCAAACGCCCCTGTGCTGTAGGAAGCCAGGTCTGTCTGGAAGGCCAGGCCATGGTCTGGCTAATCTAACGAAGGTGACCGACTGAGGGGCAAGCTCCTCTCTCTCACTCTCAGGGCCAACAGCAGCACACAGACCAAAGAGTGAGCAGACAATACCACTATCTGGGACCCAGCAGGGCACAAAGAAAGAGCAGATAAGGTCCTGCATGGGTCAGACAGTCAAGAGTTCTATGAGCAAATGCTCCTCCAAAACACAAGCAGGACCCTGCACAAGGCAGAGGAGTGCCACGTGCTCACAACAAAGGTTTCTCAACAACAGGAAGTGCATGTGGCACACAAGGAACAGAGCCTCCACTGTGCACACAGTAAGGAAAGGGCAGATGCACCGAGATAGCTTCCAGGACAAGGAAACCCACGAGCGCTGGCACATGCTCCTGAGGCAGCCACTCAACAGAGCACGGGGAACCACAGTGGGAGCTGCAGGCCCGCCAGCACTGGGAGGCTGTCACTACATGTGACTTACACACTGCTGACATCGTATCTCTCTGAGGGGCAGGGCAGCACCACCTTTACTGACACAGGCAGCCAGAGGTCAAATGCACTGCTGACCAATTACATCTGTTCTGCTTTAATGTTCTACTCCTACCTGGGTGAGCCAGGAAAGACTCAGGAAGCCAAACTGCTAACGACGGTGGCAGGAACAAGCCCTCTACTCCCCACTCTGTACAACCGTAAGGCAACTGTTTCGAGCAAGGAAAGTAGAGTACAGAGCGGGCGCTCACTCACAACCCCTCTGGCTGCAGTGCTTGCCTCTAGCCAAACCTCCTGCAACTCAGACATGTGCACCAGCTTCTCACCACCCAGGTCAACTCTGTACCACGTCCCCTAGTCTCCCACTGGACAGATGGGTTTCTTCACCCACCTTTCTCTCCTGGCTGCCCGGACCTTTCCCCAGTTGTCCCTCCACATGGTTGGGAGGCATGGGTGTCCACTGAGGTCACTTACAGGAAGGCCTGCAAGGAGCAACACCAGCCTCTGTTCAAAAGCACCCCAACTCCTTCCCACCTTTACAACCTCAGGGACAGCAACTCTGTCCTAATAGTTTAAAACAGCCTCTCAAAGAGACCTATCTGGCAGGCATGGTGTCACATGCCTATAATCCCAGCACTTGGGAGGCTGAGGCAGGAGTATCCCTGAAAGTTCAAGGCCAGCCTGAACTACAAATCAAGAACCTGTCTCAAAAAAAAAAAAAAAAAAAAAAAAAAAAAAAAAAAACAACCCTGTCTCACAATCTAGTGCAGAATTAAAATAGCTCTCCCTCAATTTACAAATACACCAAAAACATTTCTTTACCTTTACTCTTCAACACAAGGTAAGATTAGATTCTAAACCATTCTCTTAAAAGATTTTTAGGCCCCACGTTGAGAAAAATAAATCTCATTCTGCGCCTTAAAGTTCATGAAGCAAGTAAGTGCCAGCATATAGCACAGAGGGCACAGAGGGCACAGACCACAAAGTCTTCTCAAAAGGAAACAGAACCACTAAGAAGACCCAGTGACCAGAACTTCATGAACTTCAGAACTTACAAATCTGCAACGAGCGAGAGCCTCACTGAGGCTGACCAAGTCAGGGTGAATCCCCGTGGCAGCGCTTACCTTCCTCGCCCACATCCGGCCCCAGGGGGGCAGCGTCCTCCTCCGAGCCTCCGGGGCCGGGCCCCGCTGCAGGGGTCTGGCTGTGTTGCTGGCTCAGCTTGTTGCGCAGGAGGGCGATCTCCTTTTTAAGCAGCTTTGCCCGCTTGCTCCTCGAGCCACTGGACTTCATGGAGCAGGTGAGGTCCAGCTTGTCCAGCAGCTCCCTCAGCTGCTCCTCCAGACCCAGGTGGGCCCTGTTGGCTGGGTCCAGCAACCTGTCCACTGGATCAAAGGACACCATGTCAGTTACCAGTTCCTCACCCAACTGTCCATGACACTCCTCAGCCGAGGTCCAGCATGGCCACCTGAGGCTGTGACAGGGCCCCCTGGCATGCCCTGAACCCACTAGAAACACAGGAAGCTCCTGAAGGAGATGTCTACCCTCACAGCCACAGGGCATGGGACCCAGCCAGGGCCTCCTGTGCAGAGAGCTGGCTCCCGAAAGGCACAACAAGGGCCACGGGAGAGTGTAGGCCCAACCAGCCCCCCAGCACAGATGAGCTACACAGGGTCTGCCAACAGAAGTGACCACGCAAATGTGAAACTGCAGCCATGTGCGTGTCACAAATGTCATCCTAGCCAAAACCCACAGACCCTGTGAATTCCTAGCATGTTTATTATAAAAGTCTCTACAATTTCCATTTCAACTAACTTCCAAAACCTGTAAAGCAGAAACCACCATAAATTAGCATCAGATGACTAAAAAAATAAACTCCTCTTTTCCACTATCTGACAACAAAACCAGGAGCCAGAGGCAGGGTGGAGGCAAGAGGGAGAAGATTCATGTCCTCCAGAAACCGAAGTCCTACACCAAATCACCTCATCCATGCGGGAAGTAAAGAGAGGCCGTCAGGAAATACATGAAAACATTCCAGTAGTGTAACGCCAACTCTGCTGCACACAAAACCTCATACTCCTCACTTGGAAAACATTCTCGTTACCTGAAGGCCCAGAGAAACAGCCCCGCGTTGCCCTTCCCTTCCTACAGAGGACCAGCAGCCCTGTTCACTGCGCCAGCATCACAGCAGGGCCAGTGCTGACAGACAGCAGGCACCCCTCAGAGCTCAGGATCCTCCTCTCCATCTAACCCCAAAACAAGGCAGGAGAAACAAAACAGGACTTCTCAACCCTACTTTCCCTTTCAAAGAAAGACGGTGTGGAAATTCATTCAGCCATGGGTATGATCCATTTCACAAAGGTACTGACTCAGGCCCCCAGCCCTGTCCACTCAAGGGAGTCTGGAAGCCAGAGGGGAGGACTTGGAGACCAAAGCCACAACTGCTGCATAAGGGAAGAGCAGAGGGAAGGGAAGGAGGAAGCCAGGACACCTCACAGGGGTCAGTCCCCACCGGTCCATGATTTGCCAGGAGAAAGGGCAGGCCAAGAAACCAAGAATGAAGACCTCTGAACAAACCACCAGACACCATAGCTTCTGCTAGCAAGCGTGAACGCAGGAAAAGCATCCTCTGAGATGCTCCACCAACCACCCAGATGTGCACACCACTGGGCAAATGCTAACCGCGATTGACCAGCAGGGGCAGCGAGGGTTCCATGGACTACCTGAGGGAGGAGGCAGATAGGTGAGGGGCAGGTAAGCCCGCCCAGGCCACCCAACCCTCACAGGCCCATGCTGGGGCCAGGAGTACGGGACGTGCCTGTACAGACAGGAACCTTTCTGCTCTACCAACACTTCTGCTGCAAAACACCCTCGGAAGCCAGCAGCACCACTCGGAACACAAATCTCCAGCTCCTCTGTCTTCCTAGTCTGTACCACCCAGATGTGGGCAGCCACCAGCCACATCTCCCAAGCGGGCCCCCAGAACACAGCAGGCTGTGGGCCAGGTACCCCAGATGGCAGAGGATAAGAACCACACCCCAGCAGTGCCCCTATGACCTCAGGGAATCTGAACACTGCCCATCTGCTGGGAAGTCATCCTCCCGGTTCTCGCTGGACACGGCGGTGGTTCTTACCGTCTTCCCAGGAGAAAGGCCTCCGAGGGGCCGCAGCAGGCCGCTCAGACAAGTGCATTCCCGAGGCCTCTTCCAGGCCGATGCTGTCCACCTGGCGCCGGGCCTGCCTCAGAACAACACCGCCCTGATCGCGCAGCCTCACTGCGGCTCTATAAAACACGGTGTCCTTGGCATTGTACTTCATGCAGTTATCTACAATGAGATTAAAATCCTCCTCAAACGCACGGAGGTTTCTATACCCTTGGGCTTCTAGCCGCTTCCTCATTGTGGCAAAATCCATGGGATGTTTGATGTGATCCAGATAATCTGGCACCTGAGTTCAGGGAGGAAAACAACCATTTACAAACCAAGACTCCAACCTGTTATCTACAACTGGTGACATCTGGGAGCCCCCACATGCACCCCCAACTGTTTGCAGACAGCTAACAGCACACACTAGGCCATCAAGACACACCCCCAACCTCTGCAAGGACTTTCCTGACCCAGGTCCCCTTCCTAGAAGCACAGCCAGCCACCAACAGCAAGGGCTGGAGTACAGACTGCCACCCAGGCCCTCCAACACTTTACAATGGAACGTGTCATTTTCTGTGATCAAACACACGTATCACATGAGAACGAGAACTGGGCACGCAAGGATGCGTCCCCCCAGTCACCGAGACATGACAGATGGCTACACGCACCTCCTTCAGACTCACGGGCTGGGCGAAGATCTTGGCGGGGTCCTTGTCTTGCAGCTGCTCAAGCACCGAGCGCAGCAGCACAGTCAGAGGGGTCAGCCGCAGCTCCATGGCCATCTGCTCCACCTTCACCTGGGACCACAGCACCGCCATCTCAGGGGACCATGGCCACTCCACAGGCCACACATGCCCCCAGACACCACTGCGTCACCCACGGAGCACATGGCCTCACGCCTGATGCCACTGCACTGCCAGCGCTATGCTGCCTTCGAGGCAGAGGCTGATGCTGCCCTCTAAGAAGGTTCGGGAATCTAGCACACAGTCACATGACCACTTGCAAGTGGAACCATGGAAAGACCGATAACAGGAGGACATGCTGGAAGTGGGGACAGGCACAGACGGCACTGGCCACCCCTGGGACACTGGGGACAGCTAGCATATGGGGCAGGAGGTCTCACCTGCTCGCGCTTGAGCTTCTCCCGCTTGCGCAGCAGCTCAATGAGCAGGCGGGCTCGCTCCAGGTCATGCCGTAGCCGCTGCCAGTACTTCAGCTTCTCTTTGGCTGCTTTCATCTCCTCATCATTTTCTCTCTGAGAAGTGAGGTGAGACTCCTGTCAGTCACACACCCCAGGCTTCTGCCGGGGGCGCAAGGCGTTTGCATGGCAACCTGGACTTGCCCTTGCTGGAGCCCCACGACTGCATCATGACAAGGGGACAAGGGGACAAAGGGAGTGGGGGACCAGGGGCACTGTGGTCCCAGAGACCAACCACCAGGTGAGTAGGAGCAGAGGGAGAGGTTGGGGAGGTACTAGGCAAACAGCACAAGGCTGCATCTGGCCTGCCCCATAGCAAAATGGAGCCCAAGCTCCTACTCCAGACACCACAGTCCTGGGCTCGTCCACCTGCTCCTGCAAGACTGGGTGCCCTCTTGCAGTACCGAGCACCAGCATCTGTTTCATCTTCCCTCTCAGGGATGGAATGGTTCCCCGACCTCACCACAGCCCACCCCAGACCATTTCCATCCCATCATCAAGGCAAAACGTCTGCAAAAGCCGTCCACAGATGGGGCAGGAGAGCAGGCCAGGGTCTGCCCAGCCACAGGCATCATCCCTGAGCAGAATGAGTGCCTCAGCCACACACACTGCTCCAAGGTCTCTCCATGACCCTGAAGGGGGACACCCATACCCACAGGGGCAGGGCCAACCAAATATCCCCACTACAACTGTCGGGGTCCCCAGCAGGATGACCAGAACACTCCCCAGACACAGGAAATCACCAAAGGCCCTCCTGCCTCCGCAGCCACACCCTTGACATTTCCCACACCTTGTCCAACCACAGGACAGGCACTGCCCTCAGTTTCTGAAACACAATCCCCCACAAGACCCAGACTCTGTGGCCTACTCTGTCCCCCACCACCAGAGGATGCCTCAGCGCTGAGCTCCCAAGACCCTGAGAGCATGCTTAAGGGTCCAGGAGGGTCTGAGAGCCAACACTCTCAGGAGCTGACTCAGCCTGGGGAACCAGCCCTGCATCCCCCAGCCAGGCGGCTCCTGTCTCCACCAAGCAGCTTTAGCATGATTACAGGGAGAACCTTACTGTTACTTGGTCCTTGGGTATCACATCAGAAGTAACAACAGTAAACAAAGCTAGTAACATTGAAAAGGTGAATGTGGGAAACTACAGACTCCCGCAAGCATGAAAAACCACCTGCCCATTCGCTTGGACAGATTCTAAGAGTACCAGCCAGAAGGACACTCAGCCTGGTATCCTGAGAGATAAAGGAAATCTCCCCTCTGCCCACAAGCCCTTCCCTGTGGACCTGTGGATCAGCAAAACTCATTGGTTTGCTCATGGCCTGGTTTTAATAAAGAAATGAAGCCTGGCCATGTCATGGTCATGCAGAGGTAGTGTGCCATGGCCGGCACTGTACACATCCCACATCCTCACGGTCCACTTCCTGCTTAAGGGGCAACTGGAGACGCCACAGCACAGGACTGAGTGATCTCTGAAAAGGGGAAGTGCAGCAGCTGCCTTCAGAAAATGCTGAGCAACACAGAGCTTGCTCCCCACCTGCACAGAGGATAGGACACGGCCACCCTCGCATGAGGACAGCTCAGGTTCTGACTGAAGCCTCCTGCACTGGGGACAGCTCAGTGCACAAGAGGTACAGGACAGCTTTGCAGCGAGGATCCCATCACAGCCAAGGGCAGGTGGCCAGGCAGGAGCAACCAGGTCAGAGGCCCCAGGGGCACAGAGGAAGACAGGGAGGAGAGGTGCATACAGCCAACAATTCTTAGCCAAAGCCAAGCGGCCACCCTGCTCCTTCCTCTTTGGCACACGGCAGGGGACAGTGTGGCCCTTAGATCCCTGTCTTCAGAGCAGCCCACTGCATCTCATCTGCTGTCCACCCGGAAGATCAGCCATAGGAGAGAGGGGCCTGCCAGAAATACAGACAAATCAAATTCTAACGTCAGGGCTGGGGATTTAGCTCAGTGGCACCACTCCTGCCTCACAAGCACAAGATCCTGAGTTTGATCCCTGGTTAAAAAAAAAAAAAAAAAAAAAAATCTAACATCAAATATTTCTAGTTTCAAAGCTTGAAGCCCACACAAACACACATGAAAAAACTTTAGACCATACATACACCCCAAGTCTCCAAGATTCCCTGAGCAGCATCACTGTTCCAGACACCCCTGGAACACCAACCTCACCAGGACAACACGGAGCAGTGTGGGGCATGCACCCCACACTGCACCTGCTCCAGGACAGCACAGCAGGTGCCTCTGCACAACAGACACAAGTGGCTTCTACAGCCCTTGCCACCGTGGGTTTCAAAGCCCTGAGCCCAGGGAAAGCAGGGTACCTGACTCTAACAGCCTCCGCATAATGGACTCAAACCCACACAGCTCCTTCTAATCCTTCCCTGGGTCAGAGCCCTCAACCTGGGCTTCAGGCTCTCCTGGGGAAAACACTTCCTCCTCCAGCAGTCCAGATCCCAGCCCAAGCCTGTCACCATCCTTCCACCCTTCCAGCCCATCCCCTCCTGTGCCCCTCTTCCAGTGCTGGCACGTGCGAAGAGTGCCAACCCTACAGCTGGACGCCCCCCAGGCCATATCAGCATAGCATTTTTTTTTTTTTTTTTTTTTTTGGTGGCACTGGGGCTTGAACCCAGGTGTACTCTACCACAAACCTATATCCCCAACCCTTTTTTCTTTATTTTCTACCTTCAGACAGGGTCTCACTAAGTTGTCCAAGCTGAACCTGAACTTGCCATCCTACCTCAGCCTCCCCAGAGTACTGGAACTGCAGGCACGCACTGCATTCCATCTTTGCATCTTTGCAACTTTGATACTTGTTCCTTGGTGGCTCATGCCCTGACACATGTGGAAAGCTAGGGCCCTTCCAGATGGAAGGGAGATCTAAGGTCTGCATTCTCGACTTCTTCCACCACGACCTCCTTCCCTCATCTCCGCCGTCACCGAAGCAAAAGCCAAAGCCTCAGTCCAGTCAATGCCTGCCCTCACCACAGGCCCTGCTGCTCACCACCTTGATGCCCATTCCGTGACTCTGCATCAGAAGGCTCCTCCTGCCCAGGGCCCAGCAGCCATGCATGAGAAAGGATGCAGAGAGAAGAGCAGCAGTGCCTGATAATGTGGTGAGATGAAACACCTGGCTAGGCCAGGGATTGAGCTCAGTGGTGCTGCCATCTGCCTGTCAAGCACAAGGTCCCAAGTTCGATCCCCAGGACAAAAAAAAACAAACAAACAGAAAAACCTGGCTGACTCACTAAGCAACCAAAACAACTCCTGTGAGTCTCTGCTCTGCACGAGGCACTTCAGGACCTGGATGTGTGGACTCTCCAGGGAAGCAGGGGCACCAGGTCAGCCCCAGGTGCCACAGAGGGGAGCGGTATTTGTGAGGCCAACTGTGGGGCCCCCACACTGTACAGCCAGCAGGCACTATGGTGCCCAGGAGGAGATCCCACCCACAGTCCTACCACGAACAGGGACGCTGGAATCTGAGCAAACACTGAACACAGGCCTGGCCCTCAGCACTGTCCACAGCCACCCACACCACTCTGAGTTCCATCAGGAACCCAAAGAGGTGACTGCAAGGGTGCAGTATGACGGTTCCAAACTCTGTTTGGGTTTGTTCCCTTGGAGAGGAAAAGCCTGTTCCCTCTCACCCCAAGACTCCAAGCTCCTCCCGGTGGTCAGCACTGAACCACCCTTCAGAACCAGGGCCTCAAAACTATCACCCCAGGCAAGGCTCCTGGCTCTTGAAGCTCGGGGTCTTGGCAGGCCACCCTCCCTTCTGGTCTCCCCCTGCACCCCTGCACACTTCCCTGGCCTGACCCGCTGTCCCCAGAGATGGCGAAGCACCAGGCACAGGGTAGCACTCCATCAGGGTGTGCAGGATGGCAAAGGAGAAGCAATTAACGCTGAAGACCCCAGGCCAGGACATGGAGGTCACCTGCCCAACCCACAGAGTCCAGCCTAAGCCAGGTGCCCCTTTCCCAGGGCCACACCTGGCCAGCAGCAGGACACACAGTGTCAAGGCAGATGAGGGTGCACACCTACCTGCTGAGTGCTCCTCTGGGACTGCAGGCTGGACTGCAGGCGCCGCAACAGGGGTGCACCATTCCTTGACAGCCTCTTGAGTAACCAGTAGCTGTGGGCTCGCTCCACAAACTGTTTCTTCCGCTGAATGGCCACCTGATTTGCAATCCTATTTAATCTAAAACATGGAAAAACTCATAGTTTAGCTTGGAACCAATACATTAATACATTCTCATCAAGGAAATTAGAAATGACAGTATTACTCATAACAAAACCACGTGTTCACATTTTACTTTTCTCCCTGAGCCACACCACCAGTAATTTCTACCACCCTTGGTACTATAAAAACAAGGCCCACAATCTCAGCAATCTGAAGACTTCATCTACTTTTCATCCAGAGTATTTGCATTTACACATCCAGAATAAAGTGGAGCAAAGCCTTAAACAGTCTCATTCTCCATGTGCTGTCTTCTTCACACACAGGCTGGTGCAGGCCACTGCCGGCTACAATGCGGAGCAGCAAAGCCGCAGGCCAGGCTCAAAGGCGGACGCCATGGGCCAAAAGGCAAGCAGCTGCCCAGGGCTGGACAGTGTGTCCTCACTAAATGACAAAAGGCCTCTCCAGGCTCCTGAGAAACTTCGTCCTTTAGGTACAACCTACAGATGCAAAGGGGTAAAAAGAACCTGCATGCATGGAGAAGAATCCCTTGAAGGCTAGTGACAGCTCTTCCGCCCCCTTATTACATTTCCAGGTGGAACAGAAGATGGCTCATCAGTTTCTGCACAAGGACACTAAAAAGCAACACAATTCAATCCAAAACCAAAACTTTTAACAGAACAAAAATACAAAATGCACCAAGAAGGTATTCCTCATTATTACACCGAACATCTAAATTTTAGGATATCAAGAGAATAGAAATCAGAAATTTTACAGACTTGTGGAACAAGGGTGTCAGGCAGAAACACAGCCCTGCTGCATCTGCTCCTGAGCCTGCTCTAGACCCCGAGGTCACCTCCGGCTGAGCTCAGCAGCTCAAGATAGCCCCAGGCCCGGCCACCAAGCACATCGCCAAGGGCAGACGACACAAGGACACTCTGATGATGGATAGAGGACAGGCTTCAGCAGAGGTGAGGGGTCACCTGAACTCAGACCACGACCCCACACACGCATGCCCCAGGTCGGGTGGGGCCAGCCCCGGTTATACCTGTGGTGTGGTTTTTGCTTTTCTCACATTTGCCTAAGGAATGACTTGTTTGCAATTAACTACCTCAATCCTAACACAGACAGCTCAAGAGAATTTTTAACAAGATTACACATTATTTTAACACAGTACTTCAGGTTATTTTATTGATGAGATGAGGCAATATAGACACAAGTATTTTTTAACAATGCGAAGGCCCAGAAAAAATCTGGTTGGCAATCTGTTCTATAAAGATTCTGAAAAAAGCGGGGGG